TATTTCCGCGGGAAAATTTAACCCGCGTAAACCCTTTACAATATCCTTATTCCACAAAAAAGGATGGGAACTTGAAAACACACAAACACGGCAAATATACCACACACCACACACACACACACACACACACACACCACACACACACACACACACACACACACCACACACACCACACCTGTGCACTGAAATATGACATGGACACATGACTGATCTGTGTGCAGCAAGGTGATAGAAGGGATTAGATGGTGTGTGTGTGACGATGTGTGACGATGTGTGACGATGTGTGTCCATTTTTTCTGTATGTCCTGCTGTTCTCTGTCTGTCTGAATGTTCATAGAGTGTTTCCACACAGTGAGCACTTATCTGTTCATCTCAATGGAAAACACACACACACACATTTACAGATAAACCTACACAGAAAACCCCAGGCCGAAAGACACACTCAGTGTATTTGAGCAGTGACTAATTGCCCCTATAGGGGGAGAGGGCGTTGGAGTTTTATGCATAATGATTTGTAATGTGATGAATTGATTTTATAATTAATGAGCGAAGGCTTGAAAATCCTCCCTTTTTCTTTTTTTGTTGGATTGTTCTGTGGTTTAGAGGAAGGGGAAACCCGGGAAAAAGGAAAATGATAAACGGGAAAAAGTTGTTTGCACCCCAAAACTACGCACACAAACAAGATAGGGTTTGTGTATACTGTTGAAATTTTCCCTTTAAAAAATGGAGACATGTTGGGAAACGAAAAAGGGAAAAAAAAAAAAGAAAAGAAAGAAAAAAAGAAAAAAAAAAGGAAAGAAAAGAAAAAAAAATAAACCCCCCTTTTAATAATAATACAAACAGGCTTTGTTTTTTAAAATTGGGTAAAGGGAAGAGGGGAAAAGGGAGGGGAAAGGGAAAGGGCCCCTACCCTTCCCCCGCTTCCCTCTGTCTTCTTCTCTTTTCCTTTCATCAAACCTTCCTTTTTCCTTCTTATCTCTCTCTCCTTTCCTTCTCTCTCTCTTTTTTCTCTTCTCTCGTCTCTCTGTCTCTCTGTCTCTCTCTCTCTCTCTCTCCTCGTTTTCATTATGTGCCTCACCCACGCTCTCCTCTTCATTTATGTCTTTATCCTGGCTCTCTGCCCTCGCAGGCTGTCTGTATAGTTC